GGGCCAAGCAGAGGCAGCATCCCAGATGCAAGTTCCCAAAATGCCGGCTGTTCACCAGGCAATCGGGAAAATGACCTGCAGGAGGCTTGCTTAGGAGCGGAGTAGATTTGAAAGCAGGAACACAGGCAGAGTTTGGGCTTTCCAGAAAGCAGGGGGATTAGAACATTTCTGGCTCGAGCGGCCCCTGGGTCACTCTGCCTTAGAAGCAAGGCGCTGGCCTGAACAACCCATGAAGACCCCTCCAGCCTTTCACTTTGGGGCTTGGTGTGAGTTCTTTGCTTTCATCTTCAAACCTACACAGTGAATAATAGATTTTGAATGTTTGCTGGGGGAGGCACCCCTTCTATATGCTCCATAATCCTCATCGTGATACAGGTTGATGATTAATGTCTGTATCCCTAACTAGAACAGATTTCAAGAGGGCAGGCACTGTCGGTGTCGTTCACCACCATATCCACAGCCCAGAACATCTGCTGCGCAAAGCAGACGTCAATACATGTCACCAAGCAAATGAATTCACACGATAAAAAGCTCAGGATCATGACACTCAAGAAGTAACTCTGAAAGGCATGAGAAAACAGCCAACCACAGGAACAGGGGTGGAATCCCAGACTCCCTGAAGCACTGTGTTCACTGCATTCCTTCCACAAATACATACTGAGCACCCACAATGTGCCAGGTGGCCCTAAGTCCTGGGACCATGGTGGAAAACAGGCCAGGCACGGTGGCTCACGCCTGTAATCCTAGCACTTTGGGAAGCCAAGGTGGGTGGATTGCCTGAGCTCAGGAGTTCAAGACCAGCCTGGGCAACACCATGAAACCCCATCTCTACTAAAATACAAAAAATTAGCCTGGTGTGGCGGTGTGCACCTGTAGTCCCCGCTACTCGGGAGGCTGAGGAAGGAGAGTTGCTTGAACCTGGGGGGCGGAGGTTGCAGTGGGCCGAGATCACGTCACTGCACTCCAGCCTGGGCAACAGAGTGAGACTCCATCTCCAAAAGAAAAGAAAACAGAAAAACAAGTTCCCCACCCTCACAGAGCTTAAATTCTAGAAGAAGGAAATAAACAGTAAATAAACAAAAATGGGTAGGTATAGAACACGTCGGGGGGTAGGAGGTGCTGCTGAGAGAAATAACTAAGGAAATGAGGACTGGAGAGGACCTGGGGAGGGTGGCAGGTGCTACTCTTGAGAGAGGGATTAGGGGAGGCAATTCAACAGAGGCTGGAAGGAAGTGATGGAAATTAGGGGGAGAACAGGGTGGAGACCTGAAGAAAGGGCGCTCCAACAGAAGGAACCGCAAGTGAGGCAGAACGGGCTTGGTGTGTTGAACAAGGAACAGCAAGGATGCCAGTATGACTGAAAGAGAAGAAACAAACGGGATTACAGAAGGAGAGGAGGCCAGACAGGGTCAGAGGGCCAGGTGATGTGAGACACAAGGCCATCAGAGTAGAGGAATGACGCGGCAGGAACTGCGTTGTAAAGGGATCATTGGAGCCGCTGTGGAAGGTTGAAAGAGAGCAAGAATGGAATCAGGAAGTCAGGGCCAGGCTCAGTGGCTCACACCTGTAATCCCAGCACTTTGGGAGGCCGAGGCTAGCAGATCACTTGAGGTCAGGAGTTCGAGACCAGCCTGGCCAACATGGTGAAACCCTGTCTCTACTAAAAATACAAAAATTAGTTGGGCGTAGTGGCACATGCTTGTAAGCAGCCTAGGTAGGAAGTCATACAGCCTGTGGGTGGCATTTTCAGTTACGAGACAAGATGAGGTCACTCATGGAGGAAATGTGGAAAAAGGACGAGATGCTCTGAGGACTGAGGCCCAGAGATGCCATGGCTGGGGCGGATCAGGAGGACCCAACAGAGGAGACCAGAAGGCACAGAGAAGAAAAGGGGCAAGGTGTGGGGTCCCCGAGCAAAGCATTTCAAGAGCATCACTGCCCACAGGCAGCACACCAGCACAGTGTGATGGTACCAACCAGATCTGAGCTTAAACCCCACTTACCAACTGTGCAATCTTGGGCAAGTCACCTTTCTCTCTGAGCCTCAGTTTCCCCACCTGTCTAACAGGGGTGCAGGTAGTACTTGACTCATTGCGTGTTTGGGTGATTAATAAGCTTAGCTCGGTACCTGGTACACAGTGAGTGCCCACAGATTGTGGGGCTGCAGCTGTTAGCACCTGGGAGACTCCTGCCCAGGTTCCAAGACCACAGACTCAGGTTCGATCCTAGTACCAGCCAGTAAGATTCATGGAAAGAAAATCTGTGTGGTACCGGCACCACTGAAACTAGGAATCCTGATCTCTCCTGCCCCAACCTCACCCAGACCAGCCAACTTCTCACATCCTTAGTCACAAGAGCAGAGCTTCCTGCACTGTGGGAATGGAGATGATTTTAGATGGTAAAGGAACACCCCATAGAATGAGTGAATCACAGAGTGAGCACGTCAGCCCGTTACAGCTCTCTCCCAGCTCTTCCAGGTGCGTCAAGACAAAGTCCCAGGTTGATGCTACCATGCTTGTGATAGCTTCTAGCACGCTACAAAGAGAAAGCAGGCTCTAGGCTCATCACCTCAACCACACCAAGCTGCATTTTAGTGATAGGGCTGGGGCTTCTTCAACTTCACTGAAGTGGTGTTTGTGATCGCCTTCTGTTTATGGCGAGGGATACAGATTTTCCATTTCTAGAGGAGATAACGAAGTTTTCTTTCTAAACAAATTCATAGAAGCAAAAAGATAAAAGAGATGATTTAAAGAAAATGCTAAGAATGCCAGGCACCGGGGCACGCACCTGCAATTCCAGCTACTCAGGAGGCTGAAGCGGGAGCTCGAGGCCAGCCTGGGCAACACAGTGAGACCCTGTGTCTAATAAATAAATAAATAAAATGCTAAATGCATGTGAATTAAGTGGCTTGAGGTGTGGAGGTGGTGGTGGAAGAGGCATTAAGGAAGATATCCTCAGGCAGTTCTTGAATGCCTGAAGCTTGTGAAATGCTCCTTTACAAGAACCCAGGAACTCCTGTAACCCTAGCACTTTGGGAGGCCGAGACAGGAGGATCGCTTGAGCCCAAGAGTTCAGTGAGTTTTGAGCGTGCCAGTGCATTCCAGCTCTCCAGGCTAGAATGAGCCAGGATAAATTCTAGGCTGCAGTGAGCTATAATCACGCCACTGCATTCCAGCCCTCCAGCCTGGGTGATAGAGCAAGACCCTGTCTCTTAAAAAACAACAATAACAACAACAAAAAAACAAGAACCCAGGGTATATGGCCCAGGGCAGCCATCCCATCCCTGAAGAAGCAAATCAGAGTCCCAGCCACCTGCCAAGACTCAAGAATATTCTGCAGGGAGCATGGATGGGGGAAGGAGCAGGGCCGCAGCCAGGACTCCCAGTCCATGTGGGGCCCTGTCCCCACCAGGTGATGGGCAGGGGTAGCTTTGGGCCTCACCACTGGGGTGGGACAGGCAAGCTTGTCTGGGGGACTGCCAAGGAGGGTGTTAGCCTTTCACCCCTCTGCCAAGTCCCCATGTGCCCAGTGACCTCCAAGGCAACCCCCACCCTCCTAGAGCTTTCGCCACCCAAGGCTACACCAAAAGAGCCCAGCTTGGACTTTCCTCAAGACCTGCGACCTAAGTCACTGGGTCTCAGGCCTGGTCGGTCTACACTCCCACCCCCTCCCCGAGGGTGGACAATAGGAGTCAGGTGCACTGCGGCCTGGATGGCAAGAGCTGGCACTCACTTACAGACAATGCAAGGCCTTGAGCTAAGAGCACCTAACCCATTCTGAGGCACCGAAATGAGATAGGACCTACTATGCACAGTGGGGATCAAAACTGACCTGAATCAGGAGTTCAAGACCAGCCTGGCCAATATGGTGAAACCCCGTCTCTACTAAAAATACAAAAGTTAGCCTGGTGTGGTGGTGGGTGCCTGTAATCCCAGCTACTCAGGAGGCTGAGGCAGAAGAATAGCTTAAACCCGCAAGGTGGAGGTTTCAGTGAGCCAAGATCGCACCACTGCACTCCAGCCTGGGCGACAGAGTGAAACTCCGTCTCAAAAAAAACAAACAGAAAAACAAAACAAAAAAACTGACCTTGATATGTGTGACCCTCCTGGAGCTTATATTCAAGTCAGGGAGGCAGAATGAACAAGTCATTCTTATGACTTGTTCTTATGGAGAATAACAGGGGAGGGTGGATGGGCCTGCAGATAGGGTAGTCAAAGATGTCCCCTGGGAAGAGGGCAGCTGGGGGAGGAACATTCCAGGCACAGGGAACAGCAAGTGCAAAGACCTGGGCACAGAAGTAAGCCCAGTGCCTTCTAGAAGCATGAGAAAGGCTACAAGGCTGTTGTAGAGTAAGAGAGAGGGAGAGTGGAGGTGACACTGGAGAGGCTGGCAGTGCCGGATCCTGAGGCCAGATCCTGAGACAGGTTTTCTTTATCTGGAGCACAATGGGGAGCCTGAAGTCTGAAGCAGGGGAGCGACATGATCACTTCTTTTTTAATTGCTCCGGCTTCTAGGCAGAAGATGGAGAGTAGTGGGTCTGCAGCAGAAGCAGTGGAGCCAGTAGAAGTCTACGCAGCCTCCCCAGTAAGAAGTGGCAGTGGAGATGGCACCTGTTTAGAGGCAGCACCAATAGGTCTCGCTAATGAATGGCATGAGGGTTAAGGAGAAAAGTATTTCTAAGTTCCTGGCATGTGATGCCGAAATGGTGCCATTTGCCATGATGGGGAAGACCAGGGAAGCAAAGATGGGGAGAGTTGGGCCACCATAAATTCCCTGTTGTACATGGTGCCTGGGAGAAGCCTGCCGCCTATCCTGACGGAGCTATCCTGTGCTGGGTGGGTCAGGCATTGGGTCTGGAGTTCAGAAGAAAGGTGGGTGCTCACAACTGCCACGCAGGGCCATGAGCAAATGTGTGCTAAGTGGGGATGCCCAGGGGGTTCCCAGGGGCTGCTCATTCCTCTGCATCCCACAGCCCAGGTCTTCCTGCATACCCCGGGTACCTGCAGTGTCTCCGAGGCCTGGCTGGCCATGCCGGTGGTGAGGGAGGCCACCTGCACGGCTTGCTTTCGGGCAGCCAGCAGGATCCTGCAGTAGGTGAAGCATATGGCACCGGAGGGCAGGAAGAAGGTGAGGCCCGACGCCACGAGGACGAAGGGCAGGCTGGCCAGCAGGCGGCACTGGCCCGGGACTGGGGGCCGTGCGTGGCCCAGCTCGTGCCAGCCCAGCAGCAGGGGCAGGAAGGAGGCGAGCGCGGCGAGGCTCCAGGCGCCCAGGACTAGCGCCAGGGCACGCGGGGGCGTCATGCGCAGCTTGTAGCGCAGCGGCGAGAGGATGAGCAGGTAGCGGTCCAGGCTGATGAGGCAGAGGTTGAGGATGGAGGCGCTGCAGCACATTACGTCGAAGGCGGTCCAGAGCAGGCAGAGGCCGCGCGCCAGCACCCAGCGCCCGTATAGCGCGTTCAGCATGGCCGGCGGCATCACCACCAGCCCCACCATCAGGTCGGACGTGAAGAGCGACACCAGGAAGAAGTTGGACGTGTTGCGCAGCGCGGGCTGAGTGCAGATGAGCACGATCAGCAGCGAGTTGGCCGCCACCGTCAGCGCGATGACCACGCACAGCGCGGCCGCCACCCAGCCGCTGCCCCCCGGGGCCGACGGCGGCCCCGCCCCCCAGGCCGGGGTGCTATTGGCGGTGGGGCCCGGCTCTGGGACCATGGGGACCGGGGGTGGAGGGTAAGGGCGTGATAGGGTGGTGGGAAGGCAGGTGAGGGCCCCGGCGAAGCGCAGGCTGGACGGGCACCGTCGGCGAGAGCAGACAGCGACTCACCACGCCCCCCGGGGGAGGCGAGTGGGGAGACATGGGCGGGGGCACTGGGTCGCGCTAGGTCAGGGGGCAGCGACCACAAGAGGACGCAGAGTGGCTATTTGGGCGCCCTCGGGAACGGGGCAAGGACACCTGGAGCAAACGGGTTGGAAGTTTGGGGAGGGGCACCCGATGAGCCGAGGCCCCTAAAGGAAGCGGCGGGAAGTCAAGCAGATGTCGGATGGGCGCCCCGGGGTGGGAGCAGAGAGTCCTGGAGGGGGCGGGCGGCAAGATAGGGTAGGGGCGTCCGGCCGGGGCAGAGCTCGGGGAAGTGGGAGCGCGAGGAGGTGGGCGCGGGGGGTGAATGGGCGCTCTCGGGCCGGAGCAGACTCCCCGCGGCCGGTGGGCGTGTGGGGTGCCAGGGTGGGGTCTGCAGGGCGGGGGCCTAGGGGCCGGAGCAAAGCCCCCCGGGGAAAGGCAGGTCTCAGCTGGCACGGAGGCACCGGGATCGGGCTCACACTGCGCGGGGGTTCGCCGGGACCTCCAGGCCCCGCGGGAAGCGGAGGGCAGCGGCCGCGCGGCGCCCCCTCCCCACCCGGCCGCAGGGTCGCCTCCGCCTCCCGCCCGCACTGGTACCTGGGGCGCTCTGGCTTCTCCGCCGCCTGCGACTGCGGCAAGCGCCGCGGGGCTGCGAGAGGAAGAGGCGGCCGCGGGCCGGGCGGGCGGCGGGCCCGGGTCTCCCGAACCCGGGAGGGGCCGCGAGGGGCCCTCACGCGCGGAGGAGCGGCTGGGTGCAGCCCGGAGCGCGCGGTCTCCGCGCAGCGGAGCGTGCGTCCCGCCTCCCGGTGGGCGGGGAGAGCCGAGCCCTGGCCCTGCAGGCGGGCGGGGTCCCAGCACCCCGGGCCTGTGGGCCGAAGATCCGAGCGCCCCAGCTGCGCGGGGTCACCTTCCGGGCTGCGGCAGCCCCCGCACTCCCAGATGCCCCTCCCAACCCACACGGGGCGGCGGCGCAGGCGGAACTCGGAGAAGGGGGCTGTGACCTGCCTTTATCCAGGGACTGCTCCCTAATGGGTGCCTGCCCACTCACAAGGGGGTCACCAGGCTTTCAGGGGAACCAGGAGTTGGGAAATATTGGACAAATCGCCTGACACCTCTCTGGGCCTCAGTTACCATAGCTGTAAAATGGGTTAGTAATTCTGGGCATTCTTCATCGTTAGTTTGATCAAGAAGCTAACCTTTCCCTGCAGAAACCATCCCTATCGCCAAAGGGGCCGGGTACTAAGGATGAAGTCCCTGAGCTGTTGGCGCTCCTAGTTTAACAGAGCGTGAACAGATTTGAGAATCCCCAGGCCAGGTGGGTTAGAGTCTCTGCAGGCAGAGGCCTGGGGTGTTGTTTCCCCTGGTTGTGACCTCCCTCTGTATCTCTCCCCTCTGGCTGAGAAGAGTCTGCCTAACACTGCTGTGCAGGTTAATACTGTGGACTCTATTCATCCATTCGTTGAACAGATATTTAAGGCGCATCCACTAGAAGTCAGGCACTGTTCTGACCCATCAGGACCCTACAGTGGCCAAAACAAAGATCCGCACCTCCATGGAGCTTACATTCTAGTGGAAGGAGACAGACGATAAACAATAGGCATAATCAACATAGAAAGTGGGCCGGGCGCGGTGGCTCAGGCTTGTAATCTCAGCAGTTTGGGAGGCTGAGGCGGGCGGATCACCTGAGGTCAGGAGTTCGAGACCAGCCTGACCAACAGGGTGAAACCCCGTCTCTATCAAAAATATAAAAATTAGCTGGGCGTGGTGGCGGGCACCTGTAATCCCAGCTATTCAGGAGGCTGAGGCAGGAGAATCGCTTGAACCCGGGAGGCAGAGGTTCCAGTGAGCCAAGACTGTGCCACTGTCCTCCAGCCTGAGTGACATAGCAAGACTCTGTCAAAAAAAAAAAAAAAAAAGAGAGAGAGAGAGAAGGAAAGAAGGAAGAAAGGAAGGAAAGAAAGAAAGAAAAGAAAAAGAAGAAGAAAAAGTAGTATAAAGAGAACAGGGTGGGATCATTTTTTCTCCACAGAAACAGAAAAATAATACTTCCCACATCGAAGGCTCCTGCGATGTCCCCAGGGGCTTTCCTACTCCTCCAGTCATTTATTCCCATCCCCACAATAATGCTGAGAGGTTCAGAGAGGCCAAGGGCCTTGCCCCAGATCACCAGCAGCAAGTGGTGAAGTGGAACTGAAACTCAAATCTGCTCGATGCCCATGGCAAAGACAGCCCATCACAGATGGTCAAAAACCTCCCCACAGGCACCTCAGAGCCTGCAGCACCCACCCCCCGACTCTAAGCCGCTATTTGGTGCTCAGAGCCCCAGCCTTGCCCACAGAAGCATCTTTTAAGCAGATAGAGGAGGCCTGTCCTTCCTCCTTGCCACCACACTGCACCACTGTGGCGACTTCTGCCATGCCCCCAAGGAACAGAACGTAGTACAGCAAGCCTGGGCAGAGAGTCAGAAAGACCTGGCTTGGGATCCCAGCTCCATCCCAGCTCTGGGATTCAGGGCCAGTGGCTCCGTCTCCTTGGGTCGCAGTTTTCTCTTCTGTAATAGTTAGCAGAACAATACAGCACCCACCTCACAGAGTTGCTCACAGAGTTGCTGAGGGGATTAAATGACATTGATGTAATCTGTGTCTTTGGTACTATGTTAACGCTAGTTGGAAAACAGGCCAGGCGCGGTGGCTCACGCCTGTAATCCCAACACTTTGGGAGGCCAAGGCGGGCAGATCACCTGAGGTCAGGAGTTCGAGACCAGCCGGGCCAACATGATGAAACCTCGTCTCTACTAAAAATACAAAATTAGCCAGGTGTGGTGACGCACACCCATAATCCCAGCTACTCAGGAGGCTGAGGCAGGAGAATCACTTGAACCCACGAGGCAGAGGTTGCAGTGAGCTGAGATCACGCCACTGCACTCTAGCCTGGGCAAAAACAGCGAAACTCCATCTGAAAAAAAAAAAAAAATGCTAGCTCTTGGCCTTAGTGTTCCCATCAGCACAATCGTTATGCGTTCAACTCTGTGCCAAATCCTTGAGCCCAGGGATTTCTGATGTGGACAACGACAACCCTGAGAGGTGCTGTGTGGAAGGATTTGGGAGCCCAGCAGCCTGGGATCATCATCCAGAGTCTGCCACTTGCTCTGTGAAGTTATGCAAAGACTCTCAAATTCTCTGCTGCTATGAAACCAAGCCAGTGGAGCTGTGAATGGGATGAGTAAAAAATTTTGCCTGATAAATGTTGCTTTGTAAAAATCTGTACGTAGTGTATAGAATATTAGTCTGCTTTCACTTTTCCACAATACTTGATATATTTTATTTTTAAAAAAAGACCTAAAGATTAGCCGAGCGTGGTGGTGCACGACTCTAGTTTCAGCTACTTGTGAGACTGAGGTGAGAGGATTGCTTGAGGCCAAGAACTCAAGGCTGCAGTGAGCTAGGATCACAGCTGTGAATAGCCACTGAACTTCAGCCTGGGTGACAGTGAGACCCCTGTCTCAAACAAACAAACAAAACTAAAGAAAACCTGGCAATAACTTTAACATTTGTTCATTCTGGGTGATGGATCCACTGATGTTTGTTAGAATATGATCTGTACTAAAATTTAAAATTTTATTTTAAGATTGGGCCAGGGTTGGGGTGCCACCTTGTGGCCATACTGTTATGATCTTGAACTTGAGACTTTTTTTTTTCTTTTTTAGTGACAAGAGTCTCGCTCTGTGGCCCAGGTTGGAGGCAGTGATGCTATCATAGCTCACTGTAACCTCAAACTCCTGTGTTCAAGCTACCTTCCTACCTCAGCCTCCCAAGTAGGTAGGATTAGAGGTGTGCGCTACCATACCCAGCTAAATTTTTTAAGTTTTTTTGTAGAGACAAGGTCTTGCTGTATTGCCCAGGCTGGTCTCAAACTCCTGGCCTCAAGTGATCCTCCTGCCTCAGCCTCTCAAAGCACTAGAATTACAGGCATGAGTCCTATACCTGGCTGAGACCTTTATAGACGCTTCCTGTGTGTGATCCTATAACTGTCATTTGGGTCATGAAATAATGAAGTCCTAGACCTCTTAACATTTCAGGATAAAGAGGGCTTTCAAGAATACTCAGCTTTTGCTTGATTACTTCTAGCCATGAGAGCTTCCTCCCCACAGGAGATAGCAGGTGCCACTACGGAACAGCTAAGTTTTAGGGAGTTGTCTGCCCCAGACCTCCATGCCTGTCCGTACATGAGGACTGGGGCAAGCGCCTCATGACAGAGATGGAGAAATCAAGGCCCCAGGGAGGTAGCCAGCCAGCCCAAAGCTGCTCTGTGCCGGAAGACACTGAACAACTGGGTAAACTCCCTGAAGGCAGGGATCTGTCTGTCTGGTTCATGCTGGAGCTCTGGCACATATTAGGCTCTCAATAAATATCTGTTCAATGAATGAATAAATGAACAAAACTATCAGTGCAACACCCTGCAGCTTGGGCCAATCATTCATTCTCAATCATAATAACAGCTGACATCCATTGAGGTCGTACTAAAGCCAGGCATGTCCTGAACTCTACATGTGCACTGACTCACCTAACGCTCACTGCCACCCTAAGAGTGAGGTAGGTGTGACCATTATTCCCCATTTTGCACATAGGAAAAGTGAGCCTCGGAGATCTTATGTGACTTGCTCAAGACTATAGTTAGGAAGTGGTCCAGCTAAGATATGAACCCAAGCAGACTCAGTCTCCTCAGAGGCTTGGAGCAGAGGAAGGAAACCAATTGAAAGCTGGCTCCATACAGGCAAACGAAGTGGAAAGAGAGGGGCCTGCGTTGCTATCTGTGCTATCAGTGTTAATCCCTTGTAAAGACTTTAAGTCCCAGGCCGGGCACGATGGCTCACTCCTGTAATCCCAGCACTTTGGGAGGCCGAGGCGGGCAGATCACGAGGTCAAGAGATCGAGACCACCGTGAAACCCCGTCTCTACTAAAAATACAAAAATTAGCTGGGCATGGTGGCGCGCGCTTGTAGTCCCAGCTACTCGTGAGGCTGAGGCAGGAGAATCACTTGAACCCACAAGGCGGAGGTTGCAGTGAACCGAGATCGCGCTACTGCACTCCAGCCTGGCAACACAGCCAGACTCCGTCTCAAAAAAAAAAAAAAAAAAAAAAAAAAAAAGACTTTTAAGTCCCTCCTCATTGGGGGAGGATGCAGTATGCAATTCCTTCCATCCCCGCAAGGTGGCGCACCAAGGGATGCTTCTCAATTGACGTCTCTCACGCCCGGCTACTCCCTCTCGCTGGGCTCCCACATCCAATCAGCAGCGCTTCTCACGGCCCTGCCTCTCCAACTCCACTGCCTGACATAACTGGCCCCATCCTCTCCCGCCTACACTCTTGCAGTCACCCCTGATGGCCGCAGCATCTCCCTCCTCCAACCTAGCTTAGTCTCCTGAAACCCAGCTTTGCACAGACACCTCTAGGGCACCTCAGTGCAAAGGGAATGAAGTCTGAACTCTGACTGGCATTCCAGGCTGCAGCACCCAGGCCAACCCACCTTCCTGCTTTATTGCTTTATTTCCAACAGACGCTTACAAGTTTCTTTGTTCTTCCTTCCTTTCCCTTCTTCCTGTTCCCCTTCCCCTTCCTTTCCTCCTTTTTTTTTTTTTTTAAGACAGGTTCTCACTCTGTCGCCCAGACTGGAGTGCAGTGACACGAACATGACTCATTGCGGCCTCGACCTCCAGGGATCAAAGAATCCTCCCGCCTCAACCTCCCATG